TATTTAGGAACAAGTATGAAAAATCAACACTTAAGTTTAAAAACAACACAATAACTTTTCTTCCATAAAAACGAATAAACTAACTATTTCTACATAATATGCCATCTATTTGGCTCGGATATTGCTTCTGAAACAACAATAAGCATAATAACAATGATAGAAATATCAAAACTGAAAAATCTATTTTTGTATGAGGGTACAATTGACCCCTGGTACAATTGACCCTGATTATTTATACCTACTACTGCTTCGACCTTTTAAGATTTTTTCATAAGCCTGTTCATAAAGGAATAGATCCGTTGATCCGCGATCCGTACTTTTGACTCTACGCCGAGGCATCTAAAACAAAATGTTCAAATACTTAGTTACTTACTGAATTAAGCTAAAATGTACATATTCAGAAGGGTTTTAGAAACCTATATTAAAACATTTTAAGTAGGCATTTAGGTACTTATATCACCTTTTTATCTACTTATTTAATAAAACACATTAAGTATGTATCTAATTAATGCTTAATGCATGCAACTATGAATGAGCCTAGACTATATTTTCAGTAGGTAGGTATGCCTGTAATTGTAAAAATATAATTGTAAAAATGTAAAATAACCACGTAAATGTTTTATAATAACTTATCTTATTATAAGTATAGGTACTTTAAAACCAATTTAAAATATTATTTAGTAAGTATAAAACAAGGTTCCAGGGGTTAATTGTACCACGGGGTTGATTGTACCGCTACAATTGACCCCATGGAGACTGGTACAATTGTTCCAAGTAGGTAGTCAAGAGAACTTCACCTAAAATTCAGTCATTTTCACAGTGAATGCCAATAATTCGCTGTCAATACAAAGTTTAGAGCCTGGATAAACTATTGACAACAATACTTTGGTAACAAATAGCATATTAGGCAACTTATGGGCTCATATATTTGACATAAAAACTTACTGCGGCTGGGCAAAAAACAAAAATCCTTCCTGTACACCTTCGTTTCTCAGCACAAGCGCCGCCGACTGGTGAGCGGATGGAAACACAAAAAGCGCATATTCTGACGCTATGCACACAATCTAACGTCGCTTGTATGAAGAAATATCGCCGATGGTACTATTGTACCCGGTCTCCCCTATACAATACTGTATTTTTTAAACTACTAAGTTTAACAGATAACAAACAACGTAACAGAATCTCAATTTAAAAAAAAACATAAATTGTTCGTTGACCAAAGTTAAAAAAAAATGCAATAATAAAAATAAACCTATAAATCTTTATGACTTTCAGTTCTCACTTCTCAGTCTTTAAAGTGTGCTTAATCATATACAATATCCATACGTCATTATTAGTACATAACATTTTAAAGGTCAACGAGGTGTTATCGAAAAGATTTAGTATCAACTTCATAAATAACATTAATAGAAGTTGTTTTCACGAGTGTTCCCTATCCACCTCTGCCCACTAGGGCATCGTGGTTCTCAAGAGTGGCACTCCAATCTTTCTTAAAGGCAAAACGCGGACGCGGCACGAAAACTCTTCAAACAGATTTTTTGCAAACTTTGGAAAAAAATTACGTCGACGCATAAGCTTACAACCTAAAAATACTCTCAAAAAAGTTTTATTTTACAAATTAATAATATGTTAAACCACAACAAGTTACAAGAATAAACATAAACAATAATTATCGCCGATTAGGTAATTAGTAACGCCCTAAATAGCAGTGGGGAAAATGGAACATACGAGTACGACAAAACTTTAAACAAAAATGTGACCAAAAATACGTTACGTAAGCTTACGTCGAATTTCATTTAAAACATGGACACTGTATTTTACGGACACTGTAAATGGAAAATATTTCCTGGTAACCTCCGGATCCATTTATATTTTGCCGCATAAGTGATTTCATATAGATTCTGTGTTCAAATAGTTTCCAGTTGAATTAATGTTAAAATGAGTAAAGTATGAGTTGCGTAACCCGGTAAAATTATATCCTAGCAGATTTTTTCAATATTCTGGCTTATCATATTATGTAAATACCAACTTGATAAATAGCTGTATCTTAAGTTGATCTTCACCAGTTTTTGTCTTTTGTACGAAGTCTGCTCACAACGATTAACCGTCAGAAGTTTACAAAGCCATTTGAAATGAAGAACTTTTTTATAACGACTCGTTCAGCCAGGTCTGTGTAAAAAGACCTCAATCCGTGGCTACACTCGTAAAGGGATTCCAGGTCCAAACGACAGAAAACGAACAAATCGGAACAGAGATACCTCTCTGTATAGAATTGGAACATGAATACCTACGCAAAAAGTTATGAGCGATACAAAGGAAAATGCATTCCGCAGCTAAGCTGCAAAACTGAATAAGAAAACAATACAAACGATTTAACTTGCCTTTCCAGTGGATAGATTTTTCGCTGCGCAGCTGGTGGATTAATACTGGCATCTCTTCGAATACCACGTTACACAAAGAAACACATTATTAAAATAGTAAGACACGGGTCTTAACGCGACGTTTATTAATGATTTACATTATGTACTCACGGCTTGACGTTTCGGCTGCGATGCTGCAGCCGTGGTCACAAGCAGACTGGCGGTTCGCGGCGTTGTCCGTTCGGGCGGGCTTGAAGATTTTCAACTACCCTCATATTGTCATTTGTTACACTACCACTGGTGAAACACATTATTGTCTTTATTTTTTTTATTAATTTTCGTTATTATTATTGATTGATTATTTACTTTTCTGCGTTCAAACTCTCAACAATGATATTATGAGAACAATGATTAATATTACATATTGACAGATTATAACAGCAACTTAATAATCTAAATAATGCACTCAAAAACTCATGTCGTACCTACCTACCGATTATTTTCTATAAACTTTCTTCAATTGCTTCTCAAATTAAAGCTTCACACTTTCTTCACCACCAGTTAAATTATTGTTCTCCGTGTAATGTCGGGCCTTACTAGGGTTTGCATAATTTCCGCGCGGTCCCGGCTTATTGCTTGCTTCCTCCTGTAAAGAAAACAATAGCACTTACTGTGTTGCTGATAATATAATTATGTACCTGGCAGTTTACGTTTTCTGTGAGTAGGTAGGTAACAAAAAGTATGGCAGTTCCTCCCTGTTGAGAAAAATTGTTTCTAGCTCGCTGCGTTGTATATCCTTGTCTCAGCACGATTTTATTTTTCCTCTTTAAAAAGAAAGAATGCACTTACATTACTGCTTTATTTATAATTTGATCAAATATGTACCGTGTCACTTACACAAATAAATTATTTCTATTTCTATCAATATTAAGCTCCTCAATTTCATATACCTTTATTTTCAATCTTGGCGGAGTTGGGATTTTCCAACAACATTCCTAATAATTATTGCGGTATTTGTGGACAAGAACGTTATTTTAACTTGACGAAAAAGTCGGGTCGAGTGTGTTCTTAGGTGCTAAGTATTAAGTGCCCCATCGGAAATCTATGTAGTTATTCAGTTGCTCTCTAAAATTTTGTGTTTTAGAAGCACCGATATTACAGGTACTGAGATACTGTGTCAACATAAATTAATTAAACTAGGTTACTTAAGCTAAAATCGATAATTACAGTGGACATTTCATTACTGACATCATTTCAATGAGCTCTCTCATTTGTATTTAGCCCGATTAAATGTAATAGGTTAGCAATTGAAATAAATATTTTGATATTCAATGATGTTCAATAATTTATTAATTAGTAATTGATTGAACGCAGTTTTAGTGTTTCAAAATTTGTGATACTTTGCCAATTAGTTGAATGGGATTCAGAATTGCTGTTATGAATTGCAAAACATCATAATCGCGTTATAATCGTTTCACATGTTACACGTTATTTAATCATATTTACCTACTTGTAATTTTAATGAATTTGTTCTTTGTCTTTAACTGAAATCTTGTCAGTCGAGGTCCCGCGGGTTTCTCGTACTTATATTAGAATGTGTTGATTGGTCACTGGTCAATGGTCAGAAATGTATGACATGAGATGTGGCTAAGTTACTGTCAGTCAAGTATGAATTATTTAAGAATGCAAATCAGTGATGCTGTGCTTCAGCAGTCGTCGCCACTTGTCCCTGACAGCGGCCTTCCCGGTGCATTCACATCAGCCATCAAAAGTTGCCTTGATCTAATTAAGTCCAGTGCATTAACAATTTGTCGAGGTTGGGTACTTCGGTTTTTCTTTGTATTACATTATTTGTTTGTTACCTACGAGTATGTAGGTATTCCTTTTATTTATGTAACGATTTTGTAAATTAGTCTTAGTGCGTATTAATTAGTTAGGCTGTTAAGCGGGCTGTAGGTATGTTTTAAATGTTGTAACTCATTGCGGTACATATGCAGTCGTCAGTTTAGCTTTTTTCATCAAACTGACAATCGTTTATCTTTTTTCACTTAGTTCTATCTCTCCTGAAATATTCATTTGATTATATTGTACAGGTTTCCAGGATTATCAGATTTCTCACTCCATGAGATGAAGGATTAATATGTATTATTTAAAACCCACCTTTAATGCGTGTTTTATTTTATCCTAGACGCAGAGCACCAACTTTTAGTTAACCGATAGTTGCGTCGGGCTGTTAATCAGTATGGAAAAGTATGAAAGTGCGCACATTACTCGGATTTGGTAGCGGCCGATTCTTCATATACCTAATTAAAATAGAGCCCGATTATCGGCTAATTAAAACTAAAAGTCTGTAGTCTGCTTCTATGCTTATGATGTTATCTTCAATCATAGAATGAAGTTCCATGAATTTATATTTGGACATGCGGTAGTATAAAAACTTTTCTTTGTCCAATTCGTGAAATTTACTGAATTCATTTCTAAATTTCATGTGATTTGAAATCCAGTACCTATCTCCGTTTATTTTTTATTGGAAGTAACTTTAAGTCGAATTTTGCATCATCTGCAAATCTCTTAAATCCAGCCCTAATGATTTCGGCATGCTAAGGAACGACGTCTTGCGTCGTTGCCATGGAAACACATGCCAACTATCACTTTGACAACAGTTTCTTTTACTACACCAAAATTTTACAGCAGAGCTACATTTTATATTAATTTACAGGGTTAAATCGGTTCATATTTTTAACAAACGGTAAATGTACTTTTCAGTATATTATTATGTAACAATAATAAATTACCTGTATAATTTACTTTCTACACTTACCAGTGTAGAAGCGACTTGGTATGTAACATTTGTTCTTCATATCTCAGATATGGGTGATGAGGAAGCTGCGACTCTTGATGGTCAGTTCTTTGAATTCTCCAAGCTTTTGGACAACAAGCGGAGCGGCTTAACAATCACACTTTACCGCTCCGATTTCTGGATGAGGCAAGCTAAAATCTTGGACGATAGAAAAGTAACCATGACGGACACTGGAATTCTTTTCAATAAATACAGGTTTACACATCTGGATCTTCTCTCACTTGATTAAACTTCGTAACACCCACTTTGATTAACGTGTAAAATCTAAACTTTTGTAGATAAATTACCCAACTAAGGTTAGCGGGTCTGGCCGTGACCGCGCCATTTGCTATTTTCACTGGTCAAAATGTAGTGTTGATGAGGATGAACTACGTACAACTAGTTTTTTTTAAACAGTAATAGTAAACATGTTTTACGGAAAGTAATACGAGTTCACTGCTGTAGGTACTTTTCATTCAGTCTTCAAAATATGTTGTTTGTTTATATATTGTTACAGCTAGCTCCACGCAGTCTGCTTTAAGATTTTCATCACTGTATTTTGATTTATTCTTAAATCTTATGTATGGAAATACTTCAATAATTGTATTTACTTACTCGGTCATTTTTTCAGCATAAATTGTAGTAGGTAGTTCAAGTGTTTAATCTCATTATTTCTTTGTCTTATTTTTAACTAGCTTTCCGCCCGCGGCTTCGTCCGCGTGGAATTTTGTCTGTCACAGAAATACTTTATCACGCGCGTCCCTCTTTCAAAAACCGGGATAAAAACTATCCTATGTCCTTTCCCGGGACTCGAAACTATTTCTATGCATTGGGAACTTTAATATGAGAAAATGCCCCACGGCGGACAAAGATGAAACGTATTTTATTTCAAAGCTTTATACTTGTAGGTATATTCACTTAAAGCGCTATGTTGTGATATATGGGAATTCTGAGATATGACGAGTCTAAGTTGAAAATATATTTGTCTAAAATGATTTGACATTTTTATATTTTATGTTGTTTGGCATTGCAGAGTAACCAATAAAAGTAAATAAAATAATATAAATAAATAAAAAATATAAATTAAATAATATAAATAAATAAAATATTATAAATACTTAAATTAATATTAGACAACATCTCATATATTACTCCAACCCAAAATAAGTAGCTAAGGCATTTGTGTTATGGAAATCGGGAACGACGAACAACAACACACCTAAACCAGAGACAATGTGAAAAGATCGTTTTCTATATTGTCCCGGCCGGGAATCGAACCCGGGACCTCAGGATTGGCCCGGCACACCTTGAAAACCGGTGTGTGCGCCTCTCCGCCACCGAGGTCGTCAAAAATGTTACCTAAATGTAAAATAAAATAAAATATTAAAACTTCATTTTCTCAATATTCCCATATAAGAGAGAAAAAAAATTGCACGGAAATTCATTGGATATTAGTATGTATCATCTGTGATAGGTTTCGTTTGTGTCCGCTACTTTTCGAAAAGTGGGGCAAAAAGTTCCCAATGTCATTTCAACAAAATCGGTTCCGTGGTTTAGGCGTGAAAGCAAGAGAGAGTTACTTCCAGCACACTTTGCGATAACTATATTTTCGGCAGTCACATCAGCCTTGTCAGATGGTGGGCTTTTGTCAGAAGAAACGTCGTAGTCTTATTATTCTACTTCGGGTAGTTTCCTTAGCGAGTAGTCTTAATCTTGGTATATCGCGTTGAATCTTTATCATTGTAACTCAATGTCAATTTTCTCTTTACGATACCTTTATCCACAAAATTTGAGGCATTCTATATTAGGGTCATTTAAAAATGCTGGAAATAGTTTAATATTTAACTTTTCCTAATATTATAAACGTGAATTTATGAAATTGGTTGAATGTTTGTTATTACTTTACGTAAAAACACTGAATGGACGTAGTTCAAAGTCAAAATCTATGTTGAGTTTTAGTATAGTTTGGGTCTTTATCAATTAATTAGTTTGCATCTCATAAAAGTCACCTACGATTGTCGTAATTCGTTAACGCCGATAATTAATGCTTTCAGTAAATCCGAACTTGATTTCGACGAGTGGTTAGCTTTCATATCGGACCTCTGCTTGCTGAAGGGCTTGAACGAAGAGAAGGTCCAAGAGCTGTTGACCAACTGTGGGCTTCCCGGTCAAATTCCTGTTTTGGTACCACAGTACAGGGACTTTTATCTCACTTATAAACCCAAAGAAAAAATGGCTATGTAATGTCCGGCATTATTTCTCGAATTGTTAATTTACTTTTTTATACTTAATTCATTGGATTTGGAACATATTAACTCGTACCTGGACAGTGAACTGCTATAGCCGTTTTGTGATGTCAATTGTATTAGATGTATTTTTAGATTGTCTATTGGATTATTAAATATCGATTTTAGTCATAATATATTTCTTAGACAAGTTATTACATTTCTTAGACTTATTATTTAATTTCATAAAATAATTTAGTTTGTAATTTTCCCTTTAAGTTTTTGGAAATAAATATTCATAACAAACAATGATTTTTATTATTAATTAAAAGTTAATTACGTTTCGGTACTTTTACTCATCTTATTTTAAAAAATCCTCTTTTGTATTATTGAATCTGGTCAAACCAGAAAAATAATACTTGACGTGATCAGTAGTTGGAGCATATACATATTATTATTAATAGACAAAGACAAAAGTGTTATTGCTTACATGCAGGAATTAAATACTAAAACTATAATTACTTAATAAACTTAGATCCAATAAAAGTATTTTAGGGGAAGCCCGGGCAGCACGGGTACCTTAAGAAAAGTGGCAAAAAAGCCACATAAATATGCAATCAACAACAGTCTATTAATTGATAATTTGTGTCTTAGGTAATCATCTTTGGAATTGTAAAGAATAAACTTAGAAACTTAAACAAACTCTACAAAAAAAGTTCTAACTATCCATTTTGCCCGACCCCCCTGAGCAAGACGGATATGTACAGTAATAACTGCTTTAATCATTGCAATCATCACAATAATAACTGCCTGCCTATGCCTGAATATAAGGTACAATCCTCGTGTGCCCACTTCTTGCATTGATTGCACTCTATCCAATCCTCGGTAGGTGGTTCAGTGTATTCTTCTGAGCACACAACATATTTTGTTTTCACCATCTGATTTTTGTTTTTGGTCATTTTTCCTCTTGACAAGTCTTGTTTTCAGATGTGTAGTTTTTCTAGGGCCTGCTAATTCAGTTATGACTGGGTTTACCTATCCGTTCTGCCCATATCCATCTTGCCCAAAGCACCAATATTTAAAAGTTTTATACCCACCCGTTAAATTTCTACCAGTGAAAAAAAGCAACACACACAAATTAAACGTAATTTAACATGCAATCAACTAAACAGAGTCTATAAGTCAACACTTAATACGTAATATATTACACATGTTATTACACGTGACTTATTTGCTTTTCCGGTCGTCAGTTGCCTTGTTTCCTATCTTTACATGGAGGAATATGCACTTCATATCCACATTCTTGTAGATTCAAAACGCTGTCTGCATCTTCTATTCAGTACCGTCACTTCATATTGGTTGAAGAACCAAGGCCAGACACTATCCACATATTCACGAGTCCTTTCATTATGGTTGAGTCAGATATTGAAACTGGATATGGGATAGCCATGACAACAGGCTACCATAAGAAGTTTAAGTAGGTTCCAGAACTTGTGTAAACTATAAGTTTTATTTTTTTGAGGAGATAGTAACTACTTTTTTTAAATAAAAATAGATTAGCCGTCGTAGATTACGACGGCTTTGGTAATATTTTCATCTCCAAAGATGCCTTTTGTTATCAACAAATTCCTTCTAGGGATTTAATTTCTTGATAGGTGGTTGAAACCAAGATGACCATTACCTAACTAGCGCCAATTTTCTTCCCAATAAATAAATAAATAATAATAAATAAATAAATAATAAATAAATATCCTTGGACATTTTACACTGCGCCTCTAGTCCCAAACTAAGCAAAGCTTGTACTATGGGTACTAGACGACGGGATAAACATACTTATATACTTTTTTTTTTTGTAAATACATACATATTATACATAGAAAACACCCAGACCCGTCACAGAAATTAAAATTCATCATTTCAATTTCTGCCCGGCCGGGAATCGAACCCGGGACCTCCCGGTATAGTAGTCCGTTCTGAACCACTACACCAAACGGCCGACCGAACAATGCAAGGAGACATCCCAAATAATGTATTTAGCTTTTCATTAGTTTCTGCAACTTTTAAGCATAAATGTTAGAAGCTTGGATGTTGATGCTTGGGTATAAGTTTATTTTTTAAAAAAAGGTCCACCAACAGCTTGATAATTTTATACTTAATATAGAATATATTACTAAATGTACATATATTACAGGCGAACATAACTTGCGTTTACAATTGAGAAGACTTTAAAAGTTACCACCTATCTAGTCGACTATTGTCTAGTTTTGTGACATTGTGTCATTATATCCAAGTCAAATCTAGTGCTTCGTCGAACGTCTTTTCTGAAATATGTTAAAGATGTCGGAAATCTGTTCTGCATTAAACTCATGCGATAAGTTATAATAGTTTACAAATTCATTCCATTCATTACTTTCAAAATGTTCCCGAAAAGCTCTTGCTTCTCCAGGGATAGATAAATTATATTCACATAACACATGAAGTATTATTGTTTGTGATATTCTGCATCTCCCGTTGTTGCAGTTACTACTAACATAGACGCTAGGAGCAAAAATATGACCAAATTAAAAGTTTATTTCTATTGGAACATAATTATGTTTAAATGCCACATTTTTTGCAGATGTCACCTACTGCAGTCCCGTTTTTGACTCCTACCTTTGCTGGGGCCCTACTCCTGCTGGGGTGATGGCCAGCCAGTTTTGCCCTCCAGCTAGATTCAGTGACACTACACGTAAGTAAACGTTTTACCAGTTACTTGCTATCAACCCTCTATATACCTGACTCTAGCAAACCACAATACCAGGCATTTGAATACGTGTTTGGAAATAAAGTGGAATTTTATACTTGTTTTTCCTTCTTACCACATAAGAGCTAACTCATGTGCTATTTCTTAATGTTTAGGATTATCAAACTATAAATTACCGTTAGAAAGTACATCTTAAAAAATACGCCGAATTACTTAATTCAATGTCGTGTTCAACTCTTATTTACTACAATTACAGAAACTTATGTGTTTGTTTCTCTAGTCATAATTTAATGTGTAACTAAAAATAAATATTTTATGAGCTCGCACCATAAGAGTTTCTCTACCATTAAGAAAATTGCGTTGGCTTTGATGAAATTAACAGTAATCAAGTATTTCCTATAATCATAAGTTATGAATTAATAATTATGTTACTCAGGTGCCATTGAGGATCAAAAATGCAAAATTAAGATCAGGACTCATGTTGATTCCCAATTATTCCATATCGTTTTATAGCCAATAAAGCTGTTGAAATTGAACGTGAAGTGAGTCGGTTCTTTTAGTTATGTTTAGTCAGAATCGAATTTACGGCTTTCGATTCCACAAAAGTAACTTTTATTTCTATTGGATATACAAATTGATTACAAATACATGTTACTTTATACAGGATTAGCGTTCCGCATGTGTGAGGAGAATGGCATGTGGCAAGGACGACGCAAGAACGAATCTGGAAACATTGGCTGGACCAACTATACTCCGTGTTTCCCACCTGAGGTCATCGAGCTTCTTGAAAAGGTCAAGGATAACACCCAAGTCAGTATGCAGCCTAAGGCCTCAGCCTCGAACTTAGCGGGCAGCGGGGCGGGAGCGGCGGCGGCGCGGGAGCGGGGCGGGCAACGCAGACCCGTTCTCGAAACAAGCGGGCAGCTCGCGCGGCGCTTTAGCGGCGAAGTGTTGTGTTCGGGGTTGTGTTGTCGAGATATTTGTTTTTATTCGCAAACGAAATGTCTGAACAACGGCGACAATTTTATTTCGATTCAAATTTATTCCTAACGCTCGATTTATTGTGGGCAAAAGAAGGAGTGCGCTGCCCGCTCGTTGCCCGCTCCCTCGCCGCTGCCCGCTCGTTGCCCGCTGCCGCCCCGCTGCCGCGCCGCTGTTTTCGAGAACCGGTCTATTTGATTTTAATAAGATCCTGCCGCTCCCTGTGTTCGGGGTTGTGTTGTCGAGATATTTGTTTTTATTCGCAAACGAAATGTCTGAACAACGGCGACAATTTTATTTCGATTCAAATTTATTCCTAACGCTCGATTTATTGTGGGCAAAAGAAGGAGTGCGCTGCCCGCTCGTTGCCCGCTCCCTCGCCGCTGCCCGCTCGTTGCCCGCTGCCGCCCCGCTGCCGCGCCGCTGTTTTCGAGAACCGGTCTATTTGATTTTAATAAGATCCTGCCGCTCCCGCGCCGCCGCCGCCGCCGCCCCGCTGCCCGCTAAGTTCGAGGCTGAGGCCTAAGTATTTAAATAAATATCAACGCCTTAGAAGAAATGTCATTACTTTTAGAAGTTGTAGAGGTCATCACTTTCCACTCTAGAGGAAAAGTTACCGATTCGTCGAAGGGATTCACTGTCATAATTACTTACTATACTTCAGGCTACAGACTTTACTTAATTTAAAACTTTTCCTTGGCATGATCTTTTCTCTTTTAAATAATGCATTTATCGAAATTCGAATAAAATTTTGTTCAACAAAAAGCTTAAATAACATTAGTTGGACATTACAATATTTTTAATGTCCTACACACACCGGCAGATTTAGAGGAACGGAAAAAAAAGCATCAATATCATCATTATTTTAGGAAAAAAATGCCTAATTATGACATTATTTTTTAATTTAATTCTAAATATGAAAAAACTAATTGCCAACAGTATATTTTTTTAATTATTTTGTTTAAATTACCCCATCAACAGTTTCGTTGAGTGTTTTGAATTGAATGAAGCTTTTGCTAATTTGGATTTCTTTTACGTGAAAGATGTTTTTTTCTGAGAATTTTGTTGTGTAAGCATTCAGTTACTTATAAGGGTTTATTATGCCCAGCTTAGCACCGTCAGAAATCATTAAGGCAGATGAAATGAGAAGTAACGGCCATGCATACAAATCGGCTGCCGTAAGACGTCGTTGATCAGTATCGACCACCCATGGCAGTAACCAACGGTACAGATTGATCATTTCTGTCGTTAGGAGGAGGGTTCAAGTCAGAAAAAGGCGTACTTCGCGACGGGATGACCGTTTTTTACAACTTCGAGTTTTCAGAAAGTCGCGGTTACCTGCTGTTCAAGCCAGAAATAACCTTAAAGACACTCGAGGAGTAAGAGTGACTGAGCCCACAGTTCACAGGAGATTTACTGAAGTTGGTATAGGGTCGTGCATACCCGAGAAAGCTCCAACTTGTGACACAGCACCGAAAAAACATATTGAACTTTTCACGTGAATATCGTGATTGGGTCTTGAACGACTGGAGGCATGATCTCTTCACTTATGAGTGCAGAGTTCTCTTAAACCAGATCGATGGAAGATAGCGAATATGGAGACACAAAGAGAACGTAACATTTAGTCTTCATTTTGAAAATATCGTGGTTTATGGAGGTAGCTTAATTCTGGTGTGGGGAAGGATTTGTTTGGGAGCTCGCACGGAGTTAGTGGTGGGTGATGGAGGAAATACGACTTCTGAATGGTACACTAGGAACATTTTAGAAGAACATGATGTGCCATTTACTCCATTTATTGTGGACTCCTTTAGTTTAATTCACGATAATGTTCGTTTTCACAGTGCTCGCTCAGTACAGGCACATCTAAACCATTTGGATATACCCATGATGCAGTGGCTGGCAAGATCCCTAGACAAGAATCCTATAGAGCATGTCTTGGACTTTCTTAAAAGATGTGTTAAACTCAGAATACCACCGGTGGTGTTGAGAAACGCGTTACTAGAGGAATGGCAGACATTGCCCCAAAATACCCTTCATAACATTAACTGCAGCATGCTCAGATGAATGGAAACCATCATCAGAGCAAGAGGGGGAAATACCCATCATTAATTAATTCATTTGGTTAGTGATAAGCTACCCTAATTTTTAATCTGGCCACAATTTCTAATTTTTGTTCAAAACTGAAAAATTGAAATTTCGTTTCGATGATTTTTTATTAAATAAAAACGACTAAATATTTAAAAAATCTATGTTATTTTATTTTATTTTAATTATCTCTTTATTTTGTATAATAAATATTTCATAGATCAGTAGTAATTTTCCTTATTTTCATTCTTTTTTTTGCGTTCCGCTAAATCTGCCGGTGTGTGTAGTTACTTCAACTTAACACTTATTGCATGTAAATTAAGAGAAAAAGTTGCAGATTCTAAAAATTTACTTAGTTAATACTAGTTTTATCTTCTTTCATTTTAAGTCTTCGCATCCGGATTTGCATGACCCTTTTTCATAATTACCTATACATTTTTCGTATAGTGTGCATGACGTGTCAAATTATAATATTTTGTTAATCCCGGTCACAGACACGTGGCAAAATATGTGATTAGATACATTAGTATGTCGTGCCATGTGCAATAGTTATTTGTACAAACATTTTAAATTATTTGTACCCACTAAACTATTGTGTGAAAAGTTGTTAAAGACTTCGTCTCCATCAACGAAATTGCCGTTCAATATTGCGTTATCTTTGCAAAAACTTCAAAAACATTTTGATAAACATCTTGCCACATTCTGTGACCGGAGTAAGATTATAATACCCTAATTTACCTAGCTAGATAATTTTAATTACATACCTACAAGACGTTTATTTAGAACTACTAAATGATATTTATTGCATGTAAATATAATCTTTCAAATTACCTTCAGCTAGTGAAAAATATTCCCCTATTAACCGTGGTCCCACCGCTATAACTCAGTGGTGGGTCCATGGGTACTTTTTCCCCTGAACTACAGTGGTCTACGGGTAATAAAATTAAAACCGCCTTTAACCGTGGACCCACGCTGTCATGTTGAAAATGTAGGTTGAATATCCAATATGTTGCACAAACAACAGATAGACCTATACCAGAATTATTATATGAGGCCTTAAATAAGTGACAAAAGAAGGGATACGAATTAATTACGTCTTTACCTCAATTTGAAAATGCAAAACATAGTTTCTATGACTCACGAAAAAAAAATGCAGGAGTGAATAAAATTAATTTTAATAATTTTGAAGAAGTCCAGATACCAGTACAGCACTCGCAATATGTTGTGGCAGATTACTATGACGGCTAAACTAAGATTATCGTCTTTTGTATGGAAGAAGACAGAGTCTTTATTAATGATATTAAAGAAATTTTTGGTGACGCTACTTTCAAGTGTACTCCGTCTCCCTTTGCTGAGTTATTTATTATTCACGGTGAATTTGGGAGCACGAATACTGTACCAATGTTAGGCCATTACTGTATGCTTTGCTCAGTGACAGTGACAAAAACAGTGAAACATAATGCGATACTGTTTAATTTATTACAGTCGCAATTTGAAATACCACTGCGATTTCGAGCTTGCTCCGTTAAACGCCATTCAGAAAGTTTTTCCTGATATTACCGTTATTGGTTGCTATTATCACTGGTCCCAAGCTATGTGGAGAAATGAAATAAAATATTTGGGCAACGAAAATCAAAACCAGCAAAAAGATTAGTTGGGTTGTGTGACTTGTGTGTGTTCGGTGTTACCTCTACTACCTAATGAATATCTCCAAAGTGGCTGGGATTTCATAAAATTGCAATTAAATAGCACAGGAAGCAAGAAAATTAAAAAGTTTTTAGCCTATGTGGAAAATCAATGGCTGTCAAGGGATATCTGTAAGATTCTTAGTGTTAGTCGCAAACAGACACCGTACCGTACAATGTTTACTGCCTTTGAAAAGAAAAACAAATGAATTATGCCAAAAACAAATAGATGTTGATTAAACAAATGAAAATCTAAAAAGAGTAATTTGTTTTTTAGCACTCGTTTGTTTTTCGACAAATGGCGAATAACGGTTTTTGACATTATCTCTATTGGGATAGAAAATGTTAAAAAAATTACCCGTGGACCCACCGGAACAACCAGATTGAATAGGATAAATGAACACTATTGTAGTAAAAAAAATACCTGTGAACCCACCAGTGGGTCTTAGCGGTGGGACCACGGTTAAAAAACTATTGCAGTGGGTCTACAGGGAAAAAAAATACCTGTGGACCCACCAGTGGATCTTAGCGGTGGGACCACGGTTAATAGGGGAAAATATTTTATCAATCAGGGCAAAGTAATGCATTTGGAACATTTTCTTTTTGGATTTGACTGGTAGCTTGAAATTTTTATTAGTAGAGGTCGAAATCAGCGGTCTTCTAATCTAAAAACCATTTGTTGCAGGCCATGTTATACATCGCACAAATCACCCGTTACATTGAAATAGTGGGCTTCACGTTTTCCTTCTTTACTTTATCAGGATCTCTTAAAGTACTGATCTCTAACAGGTAAATTCTTATTTGAGGCATTAGTTCACCTAAATGGATATCTAGGGTTCATAAATGAGTTTGTTCCAAAGATCCAGTTGTCAGTTAAATGTTATGTTTCAGATCCTTGCGTAATACCCGGACGAAAATTCATATAAACCTATTTGTCGCGATGTTACTACAGATTATAGTACGTCTCATTTTATACATTGATCAAGAAATTGTGCGGATTTACTTTGGGGGAGGCACAACTGGCACCGGCATAGTCAATACGGTTAGTAATATCATTTTTAATGTAAGAGTAATTTATTTCTCTCGTTTGTATCACGTAAAAGACAGAAAAGTAATCTAAATACGTGGGACACTTTTTAAGTTGTGAGCCTAACTATGAAAACAAAGTAGTTTATTATTAAAATGGTATTGATTGCGTTTATTGGTATTGTCTTTCATGATTTATGTACTTTTTAATGTGTCCGAAACACTTTTCATAGCATTTTTTCCACTCAGCTTGAGGCACCTCCAAAGCATGGTTTTTGACCGCACCGACAGTTGCTTCTGGCTACATAAATCGCTGTTCACGCATTTAATTTTAATATATGGGTACCAAAAGAAGTGCCTAGATTCCAATCAAGAATTTTGTAGCGTTGGACCTGTTTATTTCATATTTTGAGTGTTCAAATAGTCAGTTGTTTGACGAGACGTGTAAAAGCTCACATTTTCGTCACGAATAGCGATTCGACTATGCTGGTCAGTTTCCCTTATTAAACTGAAGATTTTTGGAAAAAAAGTGACTGTTTACTATTAAGAATTAACCATTCTAAATTTCTCTAGTAACGTTTCTGTCATATAATCGGATATTTCGGAAAAATAGGCGACCGTAAGTTTCAAAGTGTTCCGAGCGCATGGGACTTTTGTTGGAAATGGTTCATCTTAAAACACCTCCATAGTCGATAGCTGTTTATTTTCAGGATCATTATGCATAGATCCTTAATTCGTCAACTGTCACAATTTTAAAAACGGCTTTTAAAGCTTTTTAAACGTATTTATCAAACATTTTCAAGGACTAAACAACTCAAGCGTCCTATTGAGCGTTTGAAAATTTTTGGGACATCCAGCGAGAAAAAAACGTATTAACCATAATATGGTCATACAATATTTTATTACTGCTAGTGGAATTAATGCCTAGGATTATCTCAATCCTACGATATATCACATGACGAGGTTTCTCTTCCATTTTTCTGAGAACATCAATGTTTTCCGCCACTATTAGTCATTTTGGACGACTTTCGCAAAGTTCACTGGTGAGCCAATGACATACAATATTATACTTCTTAAACTAGCGTTTTACAATGGTAAAGGACAGATATTTATCACCAAAAGAGAAATTTTGCTGACCGCTTCAGTTTTGTATTGATTAACCACGTCGAAAGTCACAATAAATCTTCGCGCGAAAATTTCCGCAAGTCAATTCCATGTTTTTGTAGTAAAGATAATTTTCAATTCAATGTTAATAATACAAAACGTGCTCAAATGATAAAAAGTTTTGAATAAGGATGTAGTCAAAAATGTCAAACTTTTCATTAAAAGTATCAGATGTCGTCTAACAACACGTTATGTTGTCGAGGCTCACAACTTAAATAGTGCCCTAGGTATCTTCTAGACATCATCAAATTCTATTATCTTTAGTTATTAGTACGAGTATTATTATAGCACTACCATTGGAGGCCATTAAAACAATAATGAATGATTAAAAAAATATCGAATAGCCAGTACATCATAGTTATGGCACTGAGAGTGGCTTCAACCGTAATCATCATCAACGTCATGTCAATAATAGGCAGTAGCACAATATAACCGGAATGCCCCGATGGTTGTATTCTAGCGCCAAAAAAAGTCCTTTCAAATTACCTTCGCAACAAAACCCTTCTATCGTTAAATGGGTAGGTACTAATACCTTCATATTCAATTATAATAAAACTTTTACTCAAAAATATCCTTTACTACATACAAATGATTGTTACATGCGCATATTGTAACTCACAAAAGGTGAGCTACAGTACAAAAGGATTCTCTCGAGTGGCCGAAGCTTGACCCATAAAGATATACGTGATATTAAGATCCACATAACTTTGTATTCGACTCAAATAGTAAAGGAACCCGTTTTCCAAGAGTATATTGGCTCGTACAGGTGTACGTATAATATCTTTAATAACACCGACGTAATACATTAGTATGAACTATTAAGTTAATTTAACAGTTAATCATACTAACTGTACAGATCATTCTGTTTAAGTGACTCGAGATGGTACTAAGTAAGAGATAAGAGACAATTTCTCTGAATTGAAAGATGAATTTAATCGATTCCTGTTTTTTAGTCCTCAGATCATTATCTACGTTACAATAGGTAGAATTGTACGTTGCCGTGCAATCCTTGTTAGATGATAGGGTTCAGGATAGTTAACGTAATTGAGCAACAGGTTTAAAAATAGTTGTCCTAGGCAAAGCGCACCTGAGAGTTACGATATAATATAGCCTCACACGCTCGTGATCTCACGTTTTGAATAACATGGGGCAAACGAGGGCTTATTGGAAGACTTCACCTAATGACAAGCTATCTCCACCGGCCATTGACATTCGCAACACCAGGAAAGTTGCGTACAGCTACGTTGTTAAAGGAATTGCGCTTAATTACATATTTACGGCAGTTTTTTGTTTCAGCCAATACTATGTGAGGTGTCCTACACATTTCTAGAGTATGCCATCACGGAGATGTTCATATGGATGTTCATTGAAGGGTGGTACTTAAACAGTGTAGTCACTTCGGACGTCCTGAAGTCAGAGATGGCATTTACAGTTGTGTGCTCCATCTCCTGGGTAGGCCCGTTCTTACTGACGCTCATGTGGGCGGCTGCGACGTTTATACACTACGCCAAGGAAGGCGCTGCAACGTAAGTATTTTAACTGTTTATAGGTTAGGTACGTACTTCAAAAATGAGACACAAAAATAGTAAATTAGTTCCGTTTTTGTAGGTTCGACTAATTTACTCTATTTAATAGACTATCTATCAAATCTCATTCCAGCTTGTCGCATTCCGCTCATTATAAATGGTAATTATTTAGAAACGCGTCATAAAGTAATCATGGGGATGGGCAAAAGATGGACACAAGCAGCCGGTTCTTACATGATAGAAGTTCTATAAATCAGAGTTTGTCTCTATACATATTTATGTCATTTCTATCTACTAGAGATAGTTCTGTTTCAGGTGTTGGTACGGTTATAACTTCCTTGACATATACTGGATCGTGCAAGGACCACGCTTGGCCATAATTATAGTAAGTATGAATTTTTTTTTGTGTTTAATGCTATTATTTGAATGCCGCGGATGTTGGCTACTTTACTCGCTCGGTTTAATCACTTGTAGCTGCGAGCTGCGGATAAGTAAGTGGCGTGTCAGCGCAACAAACTACTTACCTTTTAGCCTCCACATGATGCCCTATGTCTAACGCTCAAGCTTCACGAGGCCGTACCATGAGTGTTTACGGAGATTTTCAAGTTAGTTTAAGCGTTAGAAAAAAAAGTCGTAGCCGTGGATCGACCAAAATAATAGTACCTACATAAAAACTCTTCATTTCAGCTTTTCATTGAGTTGAGTTTCTCAGTTAGCTGGATATTAATACAATAAAATGTGCAGTTGCAAAAGGTACAATCATACAGAGCAGTATTTGGTCTTACTTACGTCGTCGGTATTTCCTGCAATACCTACATTTGTAGCAACTTTGAGTACGCCACAATTTTGCACTTTCTCGCTTGCCCGCTTCTGGTATCTTGAGCTGAAGTATGAACTTAACTGAAGTCTGGAAGCTGATCGGCAATTGCGCGCGCACATCGTTTCTGAAAAAAACATTAAAATATTATTATACCTACCTACATTCTAATCAAAAATCTTGTTAAATGTTTTTACTAAACAAACTTTTATTTCGTGGCCTCAACTTACTTTTTGTTGGCTGAACTTTAAAGTAGTACCTAGTAGTAAATCTTAATCACACCAATAATGTTGTGTCAAATCAACTCGGTGCTCGAATGATTACATTAAGCTTGTTAAGAATGGGTACGTCATACGAACACCATATCGCTGACATGCAATGCGTGCTGCTGACAGCCTTCGATTTCGCTATGGGGAACGTGCACCCACGCAGCCGTAATTAAACTGCGTGATACGCCTCGTGCCTATTTTATTTTTATAAAAGTTTTTACATATTTGTAAGAGTGCATTTTTTTTTTTCATTAAAAAATCACGAATTCATATAAAGTTGATCCGAAACAGAAAAATATCGGTCCGTATCGGTCGGTATAAAGTTGAGATTATTTGCTCGCCGATGCACTACACTAACTTAAAAAGCAAAAGTAAGTGTCCCAAGCCTAATGAGCACTAACATTGTCACGGAAAAATTAGTTAGCGAGTAACTTGCCCTCATAGACAAGTAGCAAAACGTGACAGTTGCTATTTTGTATGAAGTTACGTCTCACCTACGAAAAATAAAAAGATTCAACTTTCGGAGCAATCAAACCTCATCGCATTTGGTAATGTTTTTTTTTTGTTTCAGATTAACCTTACTTTCATGCTCAACATCCTTCGGGTGCTGGTGACTAGAATGCACAGAGACATTCACAACGATGCGACCCGTGTCAAGTAAGTGTTTACTATTTATTGTATTAATAAATTCTTTAAATTAGGATCATTAGCTCCGGACATCACTTACATCCAAACTTAGTAATTAAATTCTAGTCTAGATTTTAGTGATTAAATCAACATTGAGGAAAATCATAGAACTTAAAGAAAATAGTCATAACAGGAGTAGTTCATAGCACAAAAGGTAATGAATGTAATAAGTAGTCCTACTAAGTCTATAAACGCTTATAGATAAAGAATCACACTGTAGTTATTAGATTAAACAGGTTTATAGTAAATTAAGTAGAGAACAATACCTATCATTTTAGATAAAGAGGAGACTCCCATAAAGAAAGCACACTAAGTTTTTTCTGATTATTTTTAATTTTAGCAAAAATTCATTTTAATTTTACATATACAGGATGTTAGGTAAATGGGTATATGAGCCGACACTAGCCCATGTTAACATATGCATATAAATTGTATGGTGAAGTCAGAAATGCATCTTTCAGAAAATCATCATTTTAATTTTTATAATGTTCATTCAAAATAAAATTTATAAAATCAGATTTGTATGACAATTAAAATAATTAAAATGATGATTTTCTGAAAGATGCATTTCTGACTTCACCATACCATTTACATGCATATGTTAACATGGGCTAGTGTCGGCTCATATACCCATTTACCTAGAACCCTGTAGATGAAAATTTGCAAGAAATGGTAAATTTTTTTTGGAAGATTTTTTCTTCTTTCTAGCAAAAGTTTTTGCATTTGAGCAGTAGGGTAGTAAGAGAAAGGTTATTTGTAAAAACGACCTCAATGTTGCACTGTGACTTCGCGGACTTTTCGCTACGTAATACCTGTTGCTATTGTATGTCACGCTAAATAGTAGTAAAAACTCTTAATTTCATACAGAATAGGAGATCACTACGTGTGCGCATATTGTTTTGAGCGGGCGTATAACCGCAACGTCACAGCGATTGAAGCGTTACACACTCTCCATCTTCGGCACCTTAAGGAAGTTGAAGATGCAAAGTGGGTACCGTTTAATCTTTTCATAATAAGAATGCATTAATTTATAAAGATAAAAAATCGAATGCAAAATTATGTCATTTGCTTTTCTAAAGCAGTAAGGAATGATTTAAAGCTTTCTCCTTTTTATGCCGTAGATAGTATTTACATTAATTATTTGGTCAAAGGGTTTCATTATTATGGTAGTAAGTTCATAAGTTGGTTACAATAATAGGTACATTTTGCCGCATAACTTTGTTAGATTACATTTAAGTAATAATATATTTGCTTTACAGTTTTGTCACTTTTCATATTACATAAATGTATTTTTTGCATTAGTTGATATGTAGATACGGTCAGCACCAGAAGAATCGAAGCGACTAAAGAAGAAGAAAAAATATCAGAAGATAACTAATTATTTTATATGTGTACTTATTTCTTTTGAAACTATTAAGATCGTCGTTCTGTCTCCCTCCTAAAGTTGCTGTGCCCTAACTGGGTCCACATTGTATAACTGCCTAAATTGTAAGACCTAAAATGTGAATGCTAATGTGGTTATGCAAAATAAACTATTGAGTATTGAGTATGTAGATACGCAATCAAAGCACTCTTAACTGTTGCAGCGTCTAATGCAGTTAGGTGCGTAAGATAATTTGGAGACTTGTTAACGCTTAGGACCCATCTGATGCTGACTGTACCGTTATTTATAATACCATAAACTACTACTACTTATGAATACTTAGTTAATTTTATTAGGCTTTTCCATATTATTATTACTACAACTAGAAAGCCAGTTAGTTGATTACGTATTATGGTTTAAATAATATGGTTGTCAAATAAGTGGCTTTTTAGAGACACAAAGTCTAGTAAGAGTTCATAGTTCTCTTCAGTTACCCTCATAACTCATTTGATGATAATAACATTTACTAGACTAGCTTCGCTTGGAATACCAATATAATTCTTGCATCACCAAGGCAGGTGAACTTCACATGCGTTTGTGCATGTACCATGTACAGTACAGTATTATATGTACAGTACAGTACTGTACACTATACTGTCAGTATAGTACATGCACATTACGATAGTTCTGTCAAAAGTTTTGACTCAAACTCAAAACCACAGTCAAAACTCACTCGCCTTCGTGATTGTTGACACAATTTTTCGAATTTTTTTTTTGGCGCATATCAAAATTTATTTTAAATAAAATGGAATGATAAGCCGATAGTACTTATTCCTATTATTTTTTTGCAATTTTGTGTTGACTCTATAATCTGGCGTATGGAGCTGTGCAGAATGAAGAAAGAGATTGATTTGACGAAATACACTGAGTCCGATCAGAATCTGTCAAAATACGGATCTAGAAAACTAACTATCGAAATCAGGCAACGGAACTCGGATCTAGTAGAGCTTTTTAAAAGCCTACTTACACAATAAATGAATTTTACAAATAATAATCAGGACGGTCTTTTCACGGATTCAGATCAGACGAAACCGCTCATAGTTAGCTAGTATGTAATCAATATTTATTGATTACTAATCATCGTGCGAAAGCTAATGTCATGCTCGGAAAGATATTAAGGTCGATTCACACATATGTATCAGTGAAGTCACAGTTCCGGCACAGTCCCAGCAGATTGCGAAATAACATCTACACTGTCAGTGTCATGACAACACAGCAGTATGAGTGCCGAAAATGGTAATCACGAACTTATCACTGAAGTGTTCTGTGAACTGAGTAGGTACTGGCATGTGCGAATTGAATCACTGCCGCAATACTGAAGCACTGATACTGAACTGAGCGAACACGTTGACGGAACTGTTGCTTCACGGATATGTCTGAATCGACCAATAAACGTATTTTTATTACCTGTTTTATTGAACAGGAAAGGAGTGCGCGCCATGTTTCTATTGCTCCCACTGCTGGGCATCACCAACGTCTTGAACATGACAGAGGCGCCGCTCGACGGCCCGACTTGGTATTTCGCTACGTGGAGCTACGTCACCCACTTCTTCAGATCCTTCCAAGGGACGATTATAGCCGTACTGTACTGCTTCTTGAATTCTGAGGTAAGAATGTTTAGATGAATCTTTAAAATACACTCGGCATCAAATAAATCGCACCTCCCGCAACAAGCACTTCTCAAACGTATGCATCCCCACTTCCCAACAATATTGGCACCATTTAAAAGCCTAGTTCTAAACTTCATTTCATTAAAGGAAAGGTTTTTACCCCAAAAATGTGTCTGTAGAAGGATCCAGAGTCACTTCTTCAAAAAATAGGTAGTTACGCTTGAGTCAACTTTTATGGCTATAAAACTGTTAAGTTGGGATTAATCGTTATCCATCTGTAAAAGAGGACACGTGAGATCATTATTTAGTTTTATAACCATAAAAATTGGTCTAATTGATCCCAGAGGTGAGCCCAAAGTGAGGTCTGTTTTCAAGTCACATTTATGGTATATGTTAATCATTTATTTAGAAATTAAATGTGTTTTTCTGTAAGGATATTTATTGGGCTTTCAAATAACACCAATATTGTTGGGGCACCATGATTGTGTCAGAAGAAAATCTTTAAAGTTCGCGTCGCGGAAGCTGCGGCTTATTTGATGTTGAGTGTATATCCTTAGAAAACAACACAATTAGGCTGAGTTACACCAATTTCCTTTGACCGTAACTTTGACAAGAACCGGTGCTTTTTGTATGGAGTTTGACAGATTTTTGACGTTTGTCAAAGTTAAAATAAGATGGTGCAACTCAGCCTTAGTATTCCTAGATCACATCATACAGGTAACAGTAACAGCTCGTATCGTTTGCGTATTCGAATCGTCGAACGATACATTCCGAAACGTGTTGTTATTTTAAGAAATTGTAATAATACTAAATTAAGTTACAAAGACGAATAACTAATTTTCGTAATAGGGGTACAGTACCTAGTAGTATTTTTGACGGAAGTGTGCTAATCACTTCTTGATATGGAGCCGGTGTTCTCTTTTATAATATTTGTTAGTATTAAGATTACATTATGAAATAATCACTGATAAATGTGATTAATTTATCACTTTTACCTCGCCTGTCGGTAATTATTCATAATAACCGGCGATTATTCATAATTTTCAATTTATCACATTAACCGTAACATTTACTTTAACCAGATTACCACATCGACCTAGAGACAGTTTTAAAGCTTAAAGAAATATAAAGACACTTAAATAATCACAAAAGCAGGCTACAGTCACTGAAAACGTGACCTTGGTTGGTCCGCATTGTTAGCTTGGTCCTTGCTATTATGCCGAAATAAGGTCGCTTCTCGACAATCTGAAGGACTCGGCGGAAGGTAAGAATACGCGGGTAGAGCACAAAATAATAAGTGGCAAACAACCGCACCGTCCTCATGGTCCGATGTCTAGACGTCGGTCCGTTGTTGCATTACGAAAATTATATGCTATATTTAGAATCGTGTTCATAATAATATGTATGTATTAAACCGTAATCTGTTACTATTAGTAATGTAAGAGGCGCAGTGTAAAATGTCCGAGAATATTTATTGTATTTATTTATTAATGTGTAAAGAGAAATGTTTATAGACGTGACGTACCTATTATTTAAAAGATGCTCACCAGGAGCTTACATTGTAACATTTCGGCTTCGATTTTGATAATTAAATTACACAATATTGTCTCCCTGTCTTGAGATTTGAGAAGGTTTTGCCTGTAATTACATATTTCATTATTATATTCTGAGCTAATGTGATGGCCAAACTTATCCATATTGAAATGTTAGGAAATAAGGCTCATATGGTTGTTTCTTTAGAATCGTTGACTTGAAACTTGAATTTTTTACAGCTTAATGAGAAAAGGCTAGAGGTAAGATTTGTTAATTTCAACTTCATAAGACCTCCACGCGAAAAGGAGGGTTGACGGACAGACAGACAGACAAATAATGATTTCATATTATTATGAGTTCCGGCCGTTATTTTCCTTTTGAAGTACGGAACCAAATCGAGTTGACTTTCAATTTGCTGTTAAATTTGATTTTTATTAGCTTTAAAATCAAGAAATGTTAGTCGTTTGAGTTCGCAGAAACGTTATGTCATTCATTACTCAGAATTGCTATACATAATACATGAGTTTGTTGCGTTTGGACAGCTCATAAAATCAAGTACTGAATTATAATTTAACTTTTTAGGTGCAGGCCGTGTACATTAAAAAATTCAACGACTGGCGGGCGCTGCGGGAAACCAGAAGAAGGCAGGGTGATCTACGAAGGAACGGGCGTCATCCAAATTTGATTTCGGCGCTTACCCAGTAAGTATTCTGTAATGTAATAGGGTTCATTTATACACGATATTAGTATTATAGTAAACAGTTGAAGCAACTTGTACTTTTGGCCCACTAATTAAAAGATCAACCGGTTTCTCTTGAAGAATACTTACTCTTTAGAAAAAAGAATTTAAGCTACTCTGTCTTTACCCGTTTTGATCCTGTTTGTTATTGTATTAAATTATTATAATACTGTAGGACCAGATGCGAGGCCACTCAGACGAGGATCGCCATGAGAAACGTACACCTACCGCCCACTCCGACGGCTCGACCCCGCAGTCTTGCTGAGCTGGAAATCTCACTACCAGTTCATGACGAGTAAGTGTCCACCATTTGTTATTGTAGTTTTAATTTTTATACTTAATTAGCTATTATACCTCGTGATAGAAAGCAGCTCATGCTGTACTTGTAACACAACTGAAACAATAGAAGACATAATAAACGAGAATTACTTGATAAGTCGTTTGTGTAATACTTTAAATATTATATACTTAGTTACGAATATTAGGTATGCGTAGTTATATGCATAAGCGACTTGATGGATGTGTGTGCTATTATTTTTCTGTAAAACGTGCAGTGCATCTGTAACGCTTATTAAACGGTCTTGTAATGCCACTAATGAAAATATGGTCCAATTAGACCCGTAGTGTTCATAATGTCTGAAAATAAACACGACTAGTTAAAGTAAAAAAAAAAACTCTCTTTAATTGAAAAGCCTTAAGATAATATGAGGAATCTTAAAAATAATCCGTCGTTTCGGCCACATTATCTATATATATAAAAATGAAACCCGTTTCGCGTTGTCACGGCATCACGTGTGAACGGCTGAACCGATTTCGATAATTCTTTTTTTTAAATGTTTGTGGAAGTCCAAAGATGGTTCTTACGGAAAAAAATATTAAGAAAATCTCTACGCTAAGGCGGTACGAAGTTCGCCGGGTCAGCTAGTTCCATATAAATAAGGCCAAATTCGACCAAACTTTTATCCGAGTATAGCTCCTGGTATAACTGGCACATTGACAGTTTCAGTATGGGAAATATCTCTATGTCAAAACTGACAATTTATTCTGAGATTAATTATTACTCCTGTTTGGTCGAATCCAGCCCTAAGTCAACTATTTTATAAAGTAGGTACATAGTAACGGTACTAACTAACACATCGTATTGTGATGTATTGCATTAACTCTACTAATATATAAACCTAACTTATGCAATGCTATCCTTGTTAAAAAAGGCAGCAAAAGTGCAGCATAGCGAAAGTGTTTTGTTTCAGTTAGACATTTCTTTTCACAGCTTGTCAGTCATTTACTAAAGAAAAAAGTAGTCTAAAGAGATATTTATTTTTGGTAAAAAGATAATCATTGCAATAATGTTATTTAGGTGCACATTTTATTATATTTCACTTGTTGCTATCGCAAAATATTTTGGTAAAAAAAATGGCTACGTAAAATTGGTTTTTGAGCAAAATGCCCTTGATCATTGAATTTCCTACTTGTTGTTATTTATTACTGCCAAGTTGTTGCTGCTAGCGAATCGACTTTACTTTTTGTTTGCCTATTAACATAGTATGATTTTCTTAGTTAGCATATTTTGGGTATTCGAAAACTCAAAAAAAATATGCTCGGAGTATCTACTAAAAACATTCGCAGAGAGAGACCCAAGCGCGAATTTTTTGGAAAGTGTCTACCTTTTTTTACATAGCGTCTTAATATTGTTCTACGTACTAAGTATGCAATACTCATTTACTATGTATGATACTAAGCTTAACCATATGAAACAAATGGCAGCAAAGCGAAAATTTTTGTATTCCATAGAAATTTTTAGATTAGCGAAGCATTCTAATATTCCATGGGTTCGTTAAAATTGGCGAAGCATTTGAGTATTCCATTGACATGTTCGAATTGGCTAAGCATTTGGTAAAAGCTTAGATTAATAAAACCTAGATAGATAGTCAGTGCACGAAAAGTGAGGCAGTTTTTAGGGAGCCGGCACGGCTTACTCGTAAACGTCACATGAACTGTCAAAGTGAAAAATTGGTAAACACGTCCGACGAATTTTAATTAATTAAAACGGTTTGTGCTGTGAAAGGGTGTCTTAAATACATCAGAAAAACGAAAGAAAGTGACCAGTGTTACATTTCATAAGTAAGTACTACAATTCAACGCGTATTTTGCTTGAATTTGGATTTCAAAAATTAAATACGGGAATGATACCAGTAACAAGAAAATTTATTTCCCAATTGTTCGCCGTACAAATACACTTCCTTTTTTATGAAATCGAGACTTTTAAGTCGATTTATCTTATTGTTATTAGGTAGGTACTTTGAATTCAATAAATAAGTAAGTACATGATGCGTTTTGTTTTTGTTAATTATAAAGTAATTAAAAAAGTATTAAAAATTTCCCTACTTTCGGGAAAATCGCCTTCACTGTCTACACTCCCCAACAGAATTGACACTAATGACATAAGATTTTTGCCTCACTCTTGACGAAGCGTTTGTATGAAGACTATCCATCTAGGTTTTATTAATCTAAGGGTAAAAGTAAAATTACTGTTCCACAGGCATATCTAGAATTCTAGATTGACAAAGCATTTGCGTATTCCATTAAATTGTTAAATTGGCGAAGCATTTGCGTACTTCAATAGTACATATTATATTGGCGATGCATTTGAGTATTCCATACATGTATTAAAAGTGGCGAAGAGATTTGAATATTTCATCGTCGTGTTCAAACGGGCGAAGCATTTGAGTATCTATTGATGTGTTAAAAAAATATTTCAGTATTCAGTATTTAGATCTCTATATTCCTTCTGTGTTCAGTGCCCAGTAAAAGTAAAAGTTGATAACTACAACGACAGAATACAAATTATTGTTTCTCTTATTCTTCAGTAAAATCCATTAAACTATAAGCGGATTGGGTGTATTTCATAAGTCTAGAGGACCCATATTAATTTTGGACCGAAATAATATTTATTAGGTGCCCTGAAAGCGGCCTAGCTATAAATTAATAATTGAATTCGAATAATATTCGAATTATGCCTCGTGCTTAAAATCTACTCGGAATCAGTAAATGTTTAAGTAACGAAATAACAGTTTATATTTGAAATACTAGGTACTTGATATTGTTTGTGGTGAAGCTTGTTCATATAATTAAATTAGCCAAATATTGTAAGTGCATTTATAACATTGCGTAGTAGATACTCGAAATAGAAATAATAAATAAAAAGAATATATTTAATTTTGTTACTTGAATTTTTATGGGTCTGTTATAATTTAAATGCGAACATGCTTTTATGTTTAATGTGTAGGGTAGGTACCTACATTAAAAGTTATTTACCTACATTGCAACAATAAATCGTGGATTTGACTTGTAACCTCTTCGCAGACACTACTTTTACTTAAATACTATAATTTTTACATGTATTACATGTATATAAATAGGTAGGTACATTAAATTAGTAATACATACTTAAATTGTAACAAGATCCTTAGCATACGCCATTGTAGTAAAACTATTGTTTTTGTTTGAGATGTACTTTCATTTGTTGCAGAAATAGACGCTCCACTGGCACGGACACTGGCCCTTCGATCCTCATCCATTCTCGACCCTCGAGCGGATCAGTGGGACAAACATTGGCTACTATCGAAAATGAATACGATAGTCCGATTGCGTAAGTACCAAATTAATTTTCATGCAAGCGGCCTGCAGAAAGCCGAAATGTTCATCATTTTTTTGTAAAGATAGGTTTCATGACAATCAACAGGCTTAATAGCCGCAGCCATTGGTACCAGTAAATCGGATCCGGTAACACGAATATAGCGTCATGAAATTTTCAGCTCCATAATTTTCCGCCATTTTGTTTGATAAAGAGCAGAGTGACTTCAAGTCAAAACAATTTAAAAAAACAGCATAAGGTTGTCGTCACAGTTCTACCACTTTCAACTAGCAAAGTTGTGAGACTGTGTTTTACACAAGAAAAGACGTTTAAGTTGAGTGGTGCTAAGATCGTCGTCGTCGTCGTCGTTTCAGTCGAAAAACGTCCACTGCTGGACAAAGGCCTCCTCCAAGGATTTCCAGGAAGACCGATCCTGCGCCGCTTGCATCCAGGCACCTTCCGCGACCTTCACCAGATCGTCGGTCCACCTAGTGGGAGTCCTGCCCACGCTACGTCTTCCGGCTCGTGGTCGCCACTCAAGAACTTTGCTGCCCCGGAGCTGATGGTGCTAAGATGTTTGATCTTAATTCACAAAATACCTCTCGGTATCATGCTCTAACTTTTCTTATACCTAAACTTTGGCGATCGCTCGATCCCCTTTTTGGATTTTCAGGTTATACCTATCTGCCAAAGAAAGCTGGACTTTGTTTAAATAATAACTACTTCTGAACCGTCTTTCATTATTACAGGGCTCTTCGGAACACTACCTTCCGCCGATCTGATCCTGCCCTGGCCGTATATTCTTACAACCAGGACATAGAGACCTGTCTTTAAATGATTTCCTAGAACTTACAGATTACCTAAACAGGGTACACGGCATCAGAAGTAGAGTAAAACAGTGCTATGAGGCTTTCATTTATTTGTTTTGATTGCTCATAAAATTTGTATCTCTCTGATGGTGTCATGTACTCTAGTACACATAATATGTTTAAAGGGATTGTGATTATTGATTTGATATAAAAGAAATATTAATATTTCTATCCAACGATAATGATGCAATTGTATTATTGGTTGACACGATAAGGGACGCCCTTAAAAATATTAGAATTTTTATCGATGTTTAGAGTAACATTTAGATATAAGCACAGCTTATACATATAATTAACATGTTTATTCTTACGCACCTGAAGTTATTTAATTTATATTATTTATGGGGGCAAAGCCAATTAATTAGAGTAAAATCGCTTTACACTGATCCTGCTACCAATTTGTTATAATAAGTTTTTGTAACTTTTTTTAAGACTGAACCCACCAAAGAAACATTAATAAAGAAAAAAAAAAGATAAATAATAGTAGGGTCAGGGAGGCAACAGTGACTCACTTTTTTTTCGAAGCTTAATAAAAATAGATATCGCTTTAATATTGGCCTAAAATTTGCTCACATTTTAGATACACTATTGAACTGTAACTGAGCACTCATGATTCTACATTATTTACTACTTATGTCAAAGTAGGAACCTAAAACAAAAAAATGATAATTGAGTCACTGTGGACTACTAGGTGTACACACTGACTCACTACCGTGGTACACAGTATTAACGTGGTAAGGCAGTATTTATATGAAAAGAAAATGCCCATTCCGCGTAGTTTTTTATTAGAAATAATAACAAAACTGCACAAGCTATTCTTATTATAATCAACAATTCAACACGACTCTTAGTACTTTTATTGCTACCTATAAGATCTTAAGTCATCTCAATCTCTTCGTTATTTATTTCTTCCCTATTTTTCTGTCGGTTTTTTTCCGTGGCATTCTGTAAATAAAAAACAAAATTCGATTTACAGTTATAAAATATTGAATTCGTATAAAGTATTAAAATTGAGTCACTGTGTACTTCTACGCCATTTTGTAAATATTTGATCAAAAAAACCAAGATGTAAAACAAATTAGTCAAAATTCGGATTAAAGACAATTGATACAAGACCTACTATCCGATAAATATAACGGCTATTACCTATAGCAACAAACAAAGATATGAAAACAATCGAAACTCACCTTAGAATGTAATTTAGAGGGCGCGAAAACAAAAAACATTCCCTCACCCTTCCGCACGGCACTTGACCGGCGAGCAAACTGGTTTAAACGTGTTCGGGTACAAAGACCTTTGAATCGGTAAAAGAGACAAATATATATTCCTATGCCTTCAGGTCGAAACATGACTGAGCCACTGTAGCCGACCGAGTCACTGTTGCCTCCTTGACCCTACTTAATTTATTCTTCTTCTTTGGTTTTTCTTGTCTATGTATGATTTGTCACTCAAAATGGCTGATATATTTAAAAATAAGATTACCTTATCTAAGTTCCCCTTACCTAAGTTTTTAAGTTATTTTGCTTACTTACCTATATAAGATAATGGTTTTATGCCGACTGCAGAGAGTACCTTAAGTTTAAACGTTATCAATCGCACATAGTAAAATCTTTTCGGATTGTAAAATTGAATTGAGAAAACAAAACAAAATATGTACATAAATAGTTTGAACTCACGAAGTGTCGTTGAATTCATCTCTTTTAAAAAATGTCTCAATAAATTTTTGATAAAATGGCCTAACCTAACTTTCCGAATAAGGACTCCGGATTTTCGGGCCTTAGTGTATCCCACCTTTTGTCTCTTCTTCCTTCTACCGGTTTAATGTAAGTACACGAATAATAATACCCCGCAGGGCAGCTTTGTGGCGAGCTGTTGGTGAGTAGCGACACCACGGGGTCAGTTGTTAATCCGAGTGCTCCCGAGAGTCGGTTAAGACCCACGTCTTCGGCTTGCCGAAGTGGCATCCAAGAGGGTCTGCAGGACTCTCACCTCTGGCTTGCCTTAACCGGTCGGCCAGAGTGGAGTCGCTAGAGCTATATGCTCCAGGTGTGGAGATGTTAAAGGACAACGCCGCGAGTAATCTGGAAGAAAGCGCAGCACACCTCTCTACACCTGTAGGCTGGCAGATGCCAATGTTGCCCCTGAGTTCGGTTTATATGACCCATGACGCCAGGGGGGTGGGGGGGGGGGTCATTTAGTCACTGGCTAGTCACCGCCTGCCATATTTTCAGTCCGAGACTATGAACCAGGCAGGTGACCCGTAGTCTCTATCCATAGCCCAGTAACCAGTCCATCCATCCTACATCCATAACCCTAGTTCATTCTTCAATAACTGCAATATCCCCTGTGCACATGCCGGGATTGGTTTCTGGCTACATACCATGATATAGTCAGAGACTAGACCTAGCATGTGCGTACGTGCACCACATATACTAATAATATAATAAGAAGTAATAGTTTGTAAAAATGAAGTAAGTAACTAATTAACTTTAAAACTGACTAAAGTTCATGTAAATGAGTCTCTTATAAGACTTGCTAACATAGTGTATAGGTAATTGCATGGCGTACGAGCTAAAGAAAGTGTGGTAATGCGAGTTAATCATAGGTAAATACCTACTCGTATTATCGCCCCGTGAGGGGCCGGGGCAGAATAGTCCCTCCGTTATTCTGCCGCGTGTCGTAAGAGCCGACTAAGTGCAGAACAGATGTCACAAACATGCACAATATATACCACAGGCTTGCGTAAAGTTTAACATCAAGCAGATCTACCATCAATTTGCTCACTTACTTTTAATAACACACAATAGATATAAAAACCGGCCAAGTGCGAGTCGGACTCGCGCACCGAGGGTTCCGTACAAACCTGCAAGGTTTACAAAGTTCGTTCATTACGACAATCGAGTCATAACTATGGTATTTTTATTGCAAAATGAAATTCATAACATTACAATGGGGAAAGTAACTACTTAAAAGGAGAATGCCCAAAAGTGGTATCCCTCGAAATCTAATTGTACATTGAGGGTACCACACCGTAAATTCCTTTCTTCATTAGTAATGAATGATTAAACAATAACACACGGTTCGGGCGGAGAGTCTGGAGGCCTGAAATACAGGAATTTCCTAGTTTAGGCTCCAGTCCTCTCCAATATTATGTGTTTACTTACCCTATTTTCAACTTAACAACTCTCAACTTCATTATGTAATGCAATATAGTGAACATGTAATGTTGTGGTGGAAATAAAGAATTTATTTATTTATTTATTTAATGATTTGCGAAAGTAGTAAGAAATTGTAAAACCTCCGGAATAAAATCCGATTTTAATAAAAAGTATTGTAACAATGAGCTGCAATCAGCAACACCTATCACCGAGCAACGACACTACGTAGTTCGCACGGTTGTCAATAGATGGCGCTGTTCGTAGTTAGCTCGCGGTATCATTTGATTTTTTCCTGTCCTTAAGTAGTCAGGGCTAACCACAAATCCCTTTCCCCTTGCAAAATGGTATAAATAACATTGGTATGCACGCAAGATTATTTTGTGTTTATATCTGATCCTTATCAAATAACGCTAGCTTTGGCGTAGCTAGGGTTTTTTTTTGCTAGACTGTGCCTTCATCAGAACGGAGGACACTTTGAACACTTGCTTCGCAATACGTAAACTTTGTAAGTAGGAACTCATAAATAAATAATTAATTGTGAATAAGGTGATTTCATTTCATACTTAATTTATTAATTTGTAAAAATAGGGAACAATGTTATAAATTAATTAAAAGCCTAATAATTATTACGTATTTTTGACGGTCCTAAGCCCGTAAAGTAGAAACTGAGAGTAGAAAGGAAAATCTAAAATCAACTGAAGAGTATTTTAAAATAATTATTATGACTGGATAAAAAGGCTGGTACCCAGAGCCATAAAACATCACAGATTAATAAGAACTAGGCCACGCCCACTAGGTTTATTCCACTTGCACCTGTAGAAAGTGCGAGACAAAATTGGTTTATTCCAATTTGTATTGCAAAACCAAAATTACTAAAAACTCAGTGTACTTTCTTTATGGGAGTCTCTTGTTTATCTTAAATAACAGGTATTGGTCCCTACTTTTATCTCTGTGAATATGGCAAGAATGCAAAGTAACACGGTGTATAACTAAAAAAATTAAATTTTCGCAATTTTTCCTATATTTGCATTAAATGACAATGCTTTATGCCAAATTTCAAGATTCTGAGTTTACGGGAAGTATCCTGTAGGTTTTGATTCCTTTGCGAGTGTCGAAAATTTGTTGAAAATATCGACATAATCGGCTGTATCTTTTGATTGGCTTGGCTTAGAAGTTTGATATTTTCACAGCTTAAAGGGACAATAGACCTGAGTATTTCATGTGAATTTCAGCTTGATACGTTCACGCGATCTTGAGATAAAGGGTCTTGACAGAAGGACGGACGGACAACAAAGTGATCCTATAAGGGTTCCGTTTTTTCCTTTTGAGGTACGGAACCCTAAAAACAATAATAATAGTATTCAAGTGCCAGGCCTAATAATAAAACAGCATTTCAGGCTACTACTAAACGCACTTTGAAAGGAGGAAAGAAGTAGATTTAGGTAAAATTATTATTTCTTGTAATCAGATCTAAATGATCGCTTTAATTTCCATTATCAAACGGCATTCACAGAGCAATAAAGAAGTAGAATAGATAATAGTTAAACGCTACTTGATAGCAGTTTACGTAATATAAAATATAGTCATGTAGTTAGGTAAGTTATTAATTCTGCCTTCCTCAACAATAATATTTAGTTATTTTTATCTGGCCCATCTCTATTCTATCTAATTATGTCTAAAATAAGATGTCATTTCTTCTTTGTTTTTCTTGTTTTGATTTAATATTCCTCAATATTTCTTTGTCGAATTTTGTTTTGCATATCTTGTCGTATTTTCCTTTATTTTCTCATACTTGTCAAAAATACTTTAGTATTTTTTTTTTATTTTGTTCACTTTATAAATTAAATTTCAATTAACAATTAGGTTATTACTTTATTTTTTCTTAGTATTTATGTTACGGTTAATGTGATAAATTGAAAATTGTTCATAATAACCGGTTATTATGAATAATTACCGACAGTCGCGGTAAAAGTGATAAATTAATCACATTTAACAGTGATTATTTAATAATTCAACCTTA